TAGTTTAATGTGTAAGAAGTAAATGCATCACAGAAGCTAAAAAGGAGTTGCATGTCCCTTCATGTGTTCAAATAAATTACAACTGATTTGCATAAGTTTGATGCATAATTTAAAAAAAAAAAAAAAAGGAAGAAAAGAAAAAACAGGTCCATGAAATAGTTCACATCATGTAAGCAAGACTCGATCGGAACCTCAAATGTTAAAGTCCACTTACTGATTGTACTTTTATTACCTGAGCTAATATAGATGCTCTGAAAAGCTCCCTGACTGAAAAAAGAAGCACACATTTGGAGAAACTGTGCTGTAACTTCACATATTGTGAAGTTTTGTCTTTTCTTTGAGAAAAGAAAAACAGATAAGTCATAAACTCGTTACCATACTGTCAGGTTAGGGCTGTGTGCAGGTAGGAGTGCAAAACTTAACAAAAATCCAAATAAACTTACATGAACAGGCAGACGGAAGACACAGCATAAATGAGAGTAGACCACGACACAGACACAAAGAAACACAGGGCTTAAATACACAGAGGGAGCAATCAGGGAATGGGTAACAGGAGGGACACAGCTGGGGCAAATCAGGCCTAACGAGACAAGGGGAAGCAAAACCAGACACATTAACATCAGACATGGACTTTCAAAGTAAAACAGGAAACATGACACAGACTGAACTAAAGACACAGACTAACACGCGTGCACTGCAACAGAGGGAACAGAGACGTGGGACCAGGGCAGACACAGACACTGACTGGACACGGGGATATAGCAAACAGGGGAGACAGCAACTAAGGATTACACAGAGACAAACCATAAGACATAACTTTAACGAAGAAACCAAAGAATAGAAAAGATAAATAATACAATAAACTCAAAACCCTGGGTCAACGACCCAGGCATCCTAACACATACTGGTATTATGTAAGGAATGCACACAAAGATTGTGTTAAAAATGAGAGCTTCACAGTTAAGGTACAGTCCCCGCCCATACAGTCCATACACACTTTGCCATAGATGTAAGAGGACTGAAAAAATGTGTAATAATAATAATAAATGTTAATTGAGTCATTTGATTTATTCTACATTGGAAAATTACTTTTTGTCCACCATTTGTGTGACTAACAGTCTCACTACCAGGTGACTGATGCATAGATGAAAGTGAATTGAAACTTCTGCTGTACAGCTTACTAAGAGGTCCTGTGATTGGCCATGTGCAATTACACAAAAGAACAAGTTAAATTTCACCATAACCCTGACTGGAGAAAAGGGCAATTTGGTAATTTAAATGAGATTACAACTGTTGCACATTAGTGTAAAATCAGTGCTATGAGAGTGACTTTAAGATCACCAGCTGATTTAAAACAGAATCTAACATCAACATTCTTGCCCCTGGAAATAGCTCTAAGATATTAAGAGAACATGGCAAATGAGATGGCAGGGTGGCAAAAAATGTACTTTAAAATGAGATCTTGTTGTTTCATTGGAGCAGTAATGTATCATAACAAAGAATAAGTGCAACTATGTATGAGTATCACTGCTATGAAGTTTCCATGTTTTACATACAGATTCGGGGCTGCTAGTTTCCTCTATGCATTCTCTTATTTAAACTTAGAACCTCAAAGTTTAGCAGCAAAACACCTGTTTCCCTTTTTCCATCAAACATTTCTTTCAGCCATCTGTGTTTATCAGTGCAATGTGTCACAATCTTTTTCTAATAACCACAAAGTACACAAATACAAGATTATATATTTTATTTATCAAAGATAGATAATTACACATTGATACAATGAAAAAAGATTTCTATAAAAATTACACACCATGTAAGAAAAACATTATGTTTAAGAAAAACATAAACAATACTTTAAAAGCGTAAGAATAAACATTTTTAAAAAATCATGTTCTTTGATGATCACATTACATGTATCACATTTTCAAAGCATAACGTAGGGAGCAAAGTGTTCACAAAAACAGTTTTACAGGACTTACACACAATTACTTTTCCACAGTGCCTGTATGCCTCTTGCAAAACTATGTACTTTTCACCATAAGACACAATAACTCACGATTATCTAAGACCAGCCATGAAATGTC